CTGGCTTGTTTTTACTTGTTGCGTTTTAAGGGTGAGGCGAGCACACAATCTGAAAAAGCCGCACCGGGCGGGTGTGGGGGGGGGAAATTCTGGGAGTTGAAGTCCACCCATCTTAAACTTGCCAAGGTTGAGAAACACTGCTCTAGCCCAGCATGTCTGGAAAAACCAAGTGCAGCAGGGAAAGGGGAACCATGCATCTCATTCAAAGAAACTACTATAGATGCTAATCCAGAACACGCTTGTAGTCTATTTTTGTCACTGAACATTTCAGCATGTTCACACGCACTGTTTGAACGTTGAAGGGCTATGGAGTTCTCATTGCCTTTCAGACTCCCATTGCATGTTAACATGGCAGACCTTGTCTTACAGGAGATGTGGGTCGGCTTTGTGCCTTCTACTAAACCAGTGTGGTTGGTTTAGTTTGGGCTTAGCGAATTGGGTAAACTCGGATGCTTACCAGACAACCCTGATTGAATCATTGGGTGGTTCATCCACTAGTTTATTTTGGATATATATATTTTTTCCCAGGCTGAATGGCGGTGTGACCAAAACCTGGCTCACCTAAAGCAACCGAAGTACTTTGAAGATTCAACAAGATTTTATTAGCGTGCGTACAGTATATACTGAACTCTCAGCAAAGCTTTGGCACTTTACTGAACAGCCCCGAGCAAAAGCAGAACCACAGTTGATATACCTGTGGCCTACCACATTGCAGAGACAGGCCAAAGAAAAAGGCAGACACAGTAGAAATTACAGCATGATGTTGGATTTTTTTCTGATAAACCCATCCATGTGACGTTATTATTTATCTCTTCCTATGAGGTCAGCAGGCTAGCTGTACTATCTCTGAGATACGGTATCTTTAAGGACTGCCCATCTGACCATCTGGTCGCTTGTAAATGAGTTAGACGTTTCCTTCATCTCTTGAAAGGAACAGACTTAATCATTTGTCACACAGCGTAGTGCAAGAGGAGAGGGGACACACACCCACGTCACAGCAGGAATGCCCAATGGCTTTTCCAGAAAGAACAACCCACTGCAAAGCTGCCAGTGTTAACCTTTCAGAGAGACATGATACCCTGGATATAATACTGCATTTCAAATTCACGCAACCCTAAAATGTGATCATCATGCTTGTACAGTTCTGCATAGATTAATAATTCAGAGATAATTCAGATATCCCCAAGCTTCCTTCTGCTTTCAGGTTCCTTCTGACCATTTATTTTCCAATGCTTGTGCTTGAAAAATGGCTGAAGATGGTCATCTTGGCTCACTTCCATTGCCCTTTCATTCTGCTGCCTTGGTCTCTTCCACCTTCTACCAGGTCATCTGAAATTCATTCAAGCCGTTGGTCCTTCTGAAGCTTCCCTTTGAAGCTTCTCTATTTCCTGCACCAACAATGGTTTCTCCAATGGCTGCACCTCCACATGATCAACGGGCAGCTCTACCTCCGTTGCTCTGCTGACATCCTAAAGCAGGAGAGAGGAAGCATAAGAACATCTGGAAGTTACGTGGGCTTAGAAAGCTGGGTGGGAGAGGATGATGGAGGACGGTAGAGCAGTTATGGTTGCCCTCTGGAATAGTTTTTGTTAGTTTGGGTTGATCAATCACTTTCTAGTAAATTAGTTCTAAGATTTCTCTCTCTCTCTCTCTCACACACACACACACACAAACACAGACATGTACATGCACACCCACAGAGGATATTTGAGCATCGTGAACAAATCTTTCCAACCAGGGCATCTTCACAAGAAGCAGAGAGCACCTGAAGCATTTACCTTCCGGGGGGTCATGCAGCCCTTTGCCTTGGCATCCAGAAGCTCTGAGAGAAGATCAGCAGATGCCTCCTCTCTCTTCAGGAAAGTCTGGTTGATCACAGTGGCAGCAGATTTACTGTCTTCCAGAAATGCTGATGCCTGGAGCCTCAGTGAGAACGTTTCCCCCAGGCAGGCTTTAAGGGCCTGAGAGGCAAAGAAAATTGGGCCTTCTAGAAATAGTGGATTTTTCAGAGAGGGTCCTTTCCTGTTTGGCGCTGACCGTGTGACCTGCAATGGTGCTTCTTCACATGATCAGTCTAGGAAGTGCCCAATTAGGATAAATCTTCTGTGTGTGCAAAATACCAGGCAATGTTATAAGTATTCTAGGCATTGAAAAAGTTAAATGAAACTAGAACAGAGCCCCTGGCTACCTTATTCAATGAAAGAAAAATCTTCCATGATTTCTTTTTTGAGGAAAGGGCAAAAATTAGTCAGACTGTAGATAATGTTTGTTCCACTATGGATTCTGCTGAGATAAAGCTCCAGAAGTATTCCTGGAGGAACCCCCAGCCAAATTTCTTCTACATCCCCATTCCCTGCCTCAACATTACTGACTAGAGACAAAAGGGATCCATTGCAAAGACGACGTTTGCAAACAAGGAAAGGGCAGAGAGAGAACGCCAGAGTTTAAGTGGGCCATTATTCTTTACCTGGTAAAACAACCTTCGAAAAGCTGGGTGGGAATCTTGGCTGAAGTCATCAGCAGTGATGTGGGCCAGGCAGTGCACAAGAAGCAGAACGAAGCTCCCCGCACAGGCCAGAGACTCTCTCAAAACAAACAGCTGATTGCCAGGAGTCTAAAGAAAAAGCGGAGCAAAATCCCTTTAAAAAGTGATCAGGTAAGGAAGGTGGAGGCCAATAAAATTCTGATACTTTTGACTTGTATGATCTTCAAGTTTTGAATACTTAGGAAGCCCTCCATCACCTTTTCCTTTCTTAACCCTCTTCCTGGCTCACTCTTTCCCAGTCTTGTGTTGTCAACCGTGCCATGAAGACCTAA